AATATATAAAATCTTATTTATAATATATTATTTATTTATTTATTATTTATTTTTTCCATTTTAGTGCAACTCATTTTGTGGCCACATGCATGCACCTCTATGACAATAAAAAAAATTTAAAAAAATCAATTCAGATTTGGTCTTAACATTTCAATCTAACATTTTAACTGCAGATTTTTTGCCACAGTCGAGTGCATTGCATTCTGGGATACGGCATCTCACACAGTGTACAGTGTCACACATTTATATTAACATTTATGTTTTTAGCTGATGATTTTAGCCAAGGCAACTTACAAAACAGGAACTTTCAGTCAAAGAACCAACGATATTCATACAATCATACAATGCCAGGTTTAATAGACTAGAAACTAGATGAGGAAGCAAGCTAGAGAAAAGAAGAAATGCACCCATTTTACAAGTTGGTATGAGTAGTATGCTACAGTATTCCAGTGTCAAATAAGATGTTTACCTGGTCTTAAAGTTTGACATTATCTGATGTCAGTAGGTCACAAGGTTTCATTTACAAGCCATTTTCGGTCAACTAAAACTCATGCAGCCCTCTCTGTGTTTAACCCATCCACTGAAAGGCCTTTAATAGATTTGTCCCAATCGACTATGCTCCTAGATTACACCTCAAATAAATCTGGTCCAGTTCTGATAGATATACAGTGGGTACGGAAAGTATTCAGACCCCCTTAAATTTTTCACTCTTTGTTATATTGCAGCCATTTGCTAAAATCATTTAAGTTAAATTTTTTTCCTCATTAATGTACACACAGCACCCCATATTGACAGAATGTGTTTTTCTGTCAATATGGGGTGCTGTGTGTACATTAATGAGGAAAAAAAATTAACGTAAATGATTTTAGCAAATGGCTGCAATATAACAAAGAGTGAAAAATTTAAGGGGGTCTGAATACTTTCCGTACCCACTGTAGATGCAGCCGCTGATGATACGATTGCGTTGACGATCTCGACTCAGACAGGCGGCAGACGGAGAAACTCAAAGGCCCGTGCGGCTGGCGAGTGCTCTGAACGGTCCTCTCCTCAGACTAAATTTCTCTGATTGTGCTCTTAAAGCAAATCTCGTCTAATTGAGAAAGGTATCTTTGTTTAGCGCAACCTCAGAGCCTCACATGTTTAATCAATCTTTCACTCCTCTTTATTCCGCTGCCTCTCCACCTTTTGAAAATCAACTCCCTGATGGTTGAGAGGAAACTGTTGAACTTCAAACAAACCTTATGAATAATCTCCCCGAGACGCTATTCAAATGAGAGTTCTCTGATTGTGCCGAGCGAGCGAGCGAGCGCGTGTGTGTGTGTGTGTGTGGGCATGTTGGGATACGATGATGCCGAACGCAGCGCTAGATAAGATATGACTCACTCGACTCTAATGACAGCAAACCTTGCATTTTACTGACTTCAGTGACTCCCTTAAGAACTTCTGAACTTGTGTTCATTTATTTATTTCTTCTGTTTGTGCCTTGCGAGGTTTCTCTGGAGAAAAGGACACTTTTTAGGCAGAAGTATGTGTAAATACTTGAGTAGCTTATTCTGTGCATTCGGTATCGTTTCTGCACTGTGATGTAAATGGCAATGCATTTAGCAATTTTATAATATTCTTATCTAACAAAAGAGTTTCCTGAAATTCAGTGATGGTTAAAGAAACACTGACTTCACATCTTTCTATCGCATCGTCTTCGCTTGCTGCACTCAAAAAACATGCATCACAACCAGCATAGTCTGACTGACAAATCTTATAAGGCTGTTCTTTTATTGAATCACTCAAATCGAATCTCAAGCTCAAAGTTACCAGTTTGAATCAGTCTGATGAAACGTTCAAGTCAAGTCACCTTTATTTCTATAGCGCTTTATGCAATACAGATTTTGTACAGTGTTAAACAGAATGTTCACATTATTAACTTACTGAATTCATAAATGACTCACTGAAGGCTTTACTTTTAGCTGTGTGTCCAACTAAAAATAGTGCAGGAAATGTTACTCTTCGTATGTTTAAGATTTGTGAGACTTAAGTGAGTTTAATTACACACACACACACACACATATATATATATATATACATATAAATGTTTTTTATATACATTTTTAGAAATATATACATTTTATTTACATATATGTATGTAATCTAATATTATATACTAAATATATAAGTATCATATTTTACATATATGTACATAATGTGATATTATATAATATAGAATTCTATCAAATTTTCCATACATGTACATAACATTTCACTAAAATAAACAGTATTGTTTGTTTTGTATTTTTTGTAAGTATTTTTTTCTTTCAATTAAAAGTAATTGAATATTCATTTAAAATAACATTATTATTATTAAATACTAAATTATTATTATTATTATTATTATTATTAAAATCTTATTATTAAACATTATTATTAAACACAATATATTATTTATATTCATAAACACACAATTCTAGTTTTTATTAATATTTTGACTTAGTTCTTATTTTTATATTTTACATTTTCATTTTAATTTGTTTAAAGGTTTAGTCATTTTGTTGTGTGTTTTTGTTATTTTTACAGTTATTTTTCCTTTTTTTTATTTCAGTTTTAGTTAGTTTAATGCACCAAGTTAAAATAAATGAAAATGAGAAATATTGCCTTGGCAAATTGCAACTAGCTGAGTTTTGTTTTGTTTTGTTTTGTTTTGGTTTGTTTTGGTTTTATTTATTTATTTATTTATTTATTTTTATTCATCAAACCTGCATCAAGATTATGTTAACTAGCTGATAGCTATGCTAGTTAACATAAGCAAACTTAATATAGTTAACTACTTGTCTAAATGCTAGAATTATTGTTATTTATTCCTTTGTGTATCGTGTCTCTTGGCAAACTCATTTCAGAACAAGTTCCCAACTAAACATGACACTCTGTGCATTTTATCAGCAGCATGAATCTGTGTGTAATTGCTTGTGAGCGTTAAACGTGATGGCGGTTTGATGTTTAACGTGTGGTTTGTGTCTTCCAGAGTGGAGGAGATGGGCGCGCTAATGGCGAACCTAGAGAAGGCCAGCCAGGTGAGTGCGGTGCCCTCCTCTCAGCCTCTGATTGAGACGCCGCGTTGTGAAGATAATCACCTTCGTAATCAAGCTTTGAGTTTAATTAGACGCCCCTGCAGCCCCTCTTCCTCCCCCACCACCCTCCTCGTCCTCGCTCTCGCAGGCCCGTGATTAGCCGGCACTCTTTCCCATGGTGCCGTGCGAGCGGCGGAGGACAGGAGAGAGAGATGGATGCTGAGAGACGAGAGCGATGTGGCGAACGAGGAGGGCTGTTAGTTTCCTCATTGCGCTGATTGCTTGCTTTTTTTTATCCACGAAAAGTGGCTTAAAAATACTTCTGACACCAGGGTTTTTATAGTTAACTAAAACTACAAACATTAAAAAAATTATTAAAAGTTATTTGGAATAAAAGAAATATTAACTGAAATAAAGACAATTATTTCAAAAACTTATTTTAGCTAATTTCTCATTTTAATTTAGTTTAATTGACGTATGAAAAGAACTAAAACAAAAACTGAAGAAAAAAATAAAAAACGAATAAAAATGACGAAATCAAACCACTACATTACTAACATTTTAACTAAAATAAAAAAAATAATAAAAAAAAATAAAAAAATTCAAAATATAAAAAAAAAAACAATAGTCTGCAATAAAAGTGGCCGAAAAAGACCCTTACGGCACCAGGGTTACTATAGTTTTATTAAATTAAACCTACAACCATAAAAAATTAACATTTTCTGTTATTTGAAATAAAACAAATGTCAATAAAATAATATATTTAACAACTTATTTATTTCAGCTTGTTTCTCGTAGTTTAACTTGCTATACTAAAATCACTCAAATATATGTTTTTTTTAATATTTCTTAGTAAGATGCTATTTAAATGCTTACATTTATGATCAAAGCTCTGTAGTTTCAAAACATATAATGCAATGCAATACAATGATGACTGAGAGATGAACAAATAAACATTCCTCAAAAGCCTAATGATCATATTTAATACTCACATTTGAACATGATTTTTCTAATAAACGATGTATGGCTAATCAAGTCAAGCTAAGTTGTTTCAGTTCAGTATGTGTTCATCTTGAAATATTACTAGCAATATCAAAGTTATTCTTATGTTTATAAAAAATCAGTAAAGATCTGACAGCAAAAAGACACGTGAAGCACGAGCTGAAGGAGGACGTTTGTACAATTATACCAAAAGACCTTTAACTTGATAAAAAATCTATTTAACAAATTGTGTCCAACAGGTGTATCATCTGTTCCAAATCGGACTATTATTTTATATGCTTTAAGTGTGGCGCAAGTGTCGAAATATTTTTGGGGTCACTGCACGCACAAGCGGGATGTTCAGCTCCTCTGAAGTTTTCCAAACTTGTGTGTTTGATGGCAGAGAGCGGATCTGGCCCAGAGGGAGATGGAGAGGCTGAAGAAGCAGCTCGCCGGCACTTCTAAAGGGACCGGCCCATCAGAGGACAGACCCAAGGAGGTACGAATGACTCGCTCTTTTAGATGAAAGCCGGGGCGACTGCAAATTGCCACCTTAACACGTCCAATCTGCAGTGGGAGGAAATGATCAGTTGCTCCCACAACACTGGAACCTCATTAGCGGCTCTTTGAGGTGCTGTGATTATAGGCAGCCAGAGAGCAGGAGGAGATTTCGAAGTTGAAAAGACAGTTTCATGTTGCCCATGCCTGATCTCCTTTCATTTGCCGTCTCAGGAGAGGGAGCGCGAGGAGCGAGATGAGACCTCGCTGTCCCGGCTGGAGGCGGTGCTGTTCTCCAAGGACAGAGAGATCCTGCGACTGCTCGAGAACGTCCAGAGACTCCAGTTCACCTTACAGGAAGTCCAGGACTCCTCGGCCAATCAGATCGCCGAGCTGAAGCGGCAGCTGGCCTATAAGTCAGAAGCTATAGAGGTGAGAGTGTGTTATTTTAGCCATGATATGTGGTCAGGATATTACAGTTTAAAAGTATATATTTACTGCAAGCTCAGTTGTTTCTATGGAACTCATAGGCTGCAGATTTGTTTTAAAGCAACACACATTTTCAAAGTATTTTTGGCTGATATGAATGTATTAGCATATATGAATAGTATTCTCAGCTCCATTTAGCACATTTTACTGTTTGCATTTGCTTTTATCCAAAGCAACTTAGACTGCATCCAAAAATCCAGAGATTCCATCACTTTTGTAAAATAGTGCAAAAACAGCATTAATAAACAAACTTGTTGCCTTTTTTTCAAGAAATTAATATTTACCAAGTATGCATTAAATTGATCAAAAGTGACAGTAAAGACATTTATAATGTTACAAAAATGCTGTTCTTTTGAACTTTCTATTCATCAAAGTAATCCTGAAAAATAAAATGCATCACAGTTTCCACAAAAATATGAAGCAGCACAACTGTTTTCAACATTGATAATAATCAGAAATATTAGAATGATTTCTGAAGAATCACGTGACACTGAAGACTGGAGTAATGATGCTGAAAATTCAGCTTTGATCACAGGAATAAATTACATTTTACAATATGTTTATTTTAAAATTAGAAAAATATTTCATAATTTTTTTGAAATATTCTCCAAAAAATTAAACCAACTCCAAACTTTTGAGCAGCAGTGTATGTTTAAAGCATCATTTGGATTTGATTAGAAACCAAACAAATCAGATTTAGACTTTGTCTGGTTAAGTTTGCATCTGTTGTCTTTCTGGACTGTAATAATTTATAGATGACCCATAATTAACATCTTGTGTCTTCACAGACCCTGGAGGCCAAGCTACAGTCTCAGCTGGATTATGAAGAGATCAAAACTGAACTCAGGTGAGGTTTTGCAGGAACACATGCTATAAAGATGACGTTTGATGATGTTGATGTTAACGTATCGTTGTGTCTCCTTCAGCATCCTGAAAGCCATGAAACTGGCATCAGCCAACGGAAGTTCATCCCAGGTGAGTGAAGCAAGTGTTCTTCCTGCAGAGCTGTAGGGTAATTTAACAGTCCTGCGTTATATTGACATACGGTTACGGACCCTCTCAAATAAAAGACAAATAAAGTTCTCCATGAAAAACAGTTGCCTGCATCTGTCAATGAGGAAACGCCACAGCGATCCGTGTGAACGCCTCACTAGCGTCATCCATAATGTAGATCTGCATCGATCATGAGAGTTTAACTGCCCCTGTGTGTGTTTGTGTGTGTGTGTGTGTGTGTGTGTGTGTGTGTGCAGGAATCAGCCAAAACCGCTGAGGCTCTGCTGCTGGACAAAGATGCCTTTCTGCCCTCTCACAAATTTCTTGTGGATAAAGTCAGAGTGTTACACAACAGCGGTAAGGATGTGTCTGTTTATGTTCACGGATGTGTCACTGAACTTTTCCCTTCCATCTTTAAAGTACATTGGATAATAAACTAAAACCATAAAAATATTTTTTGTTACTTGAAATGTTAACTGGGGGAAAAAAACTAATAATTATTTGATTTCAGCTAGCTGCCAAAGCAACATCAAGTTTACCTTGATGTAGTAAAAAAAACTAACTAAAACTGAAATACAAATGAATAAAAATAATATAGACATATTTAAAAAAATAATAATAATAAAAATTAGAAAAACAAAAAAATACTAAAACTTAAATTTAAGAATATATATATATATATATTAAAAAATGAATGAATGAATGAATGATGCATTTATATAGCGCTTTATTGTATATTATTGTACACCCAAAGTGCTTTACAATCATGTGGGGGGGGTCTCTCCTCAACCACCACCAGTGTGCAGCATCCACTTTAGTATCTTAGTGATACTAAAATAACACTGCCTTTATACCATGGTACATGAATATGTTATTCATGCCAAATCATGGTAAAGGGTACTATGGTAATGCAGCTACAGTATGCATTTTATGTATGTTGTTTAATAATGCTAAACTGTATCAAGCTAAATTATTTATATTGTTTTTTATTTTATTTTCTGTTTTTATTTATTAATAATAATTACATTTATTAATAATGTATTATAAGTTTCATTTTATAGTAATAAATGTTAATAATAATGATCTATTATTAAATTAAATCAAAATACTATTTAAAATAATAAATTAATTTAAATTAAAATGAATGATTATATTAAAATGAAATATTACAAAAAAAAAATTTTTAATCCTAAACTGTAGAATTTTTTAGATTTTTAAATTTATAAAATATTTTGGTCACATCAGCGGTATTGAATATCCAGTCAGAGTTTATACATAACTATCAATTTGATCAAATAAACATGTATCGTTTCTCTCTGTCTAAGATGAGGGTCACTCTGAGGACTGCAGTAAGCATGTGAGTCACCCGGCGGGGTCATATTCCTCCCCTCCAGGAACTTTGCCCATAGATGGCCGCACTTCCTCCAGCCCAGGACCGCCCAACACTGACACGCCATTCTCTGCCCATGAACTGCCCCGCCCCTTCTCAGTGTCGCCCTTCTCGGGCGAGAAACTTCATGGAGATCAGCTCCTGCAGAAGCAGCTCCTGTCTCCGCTCTTCAAGAAAGACGGCAGCTCCATCATGGCGTTCCCCACCGCCCTCTACGCCGCCAAAGCGGCCCTCATGTCAGCCAATCATAACGCCTCAATGTCCGTCGCCATGGAGACAGGCATGCCAAGTGACCAATCGGAGAGCGGAAGCTCGGGGGGAGGAGACGACAATCAGTTGGAAACGGCAGAAATCGCTTTTCAGGTCAAAGAGCAGCTGCTGAAACACAACATCGGTCAGCGTGTGTTCGGCCACTACGTGCTGGGCCTCTCGCAGGGCTCGGTCAGCGAGATCCTGGCTCGACCCAAACCCTGGAGGAAACTCACCGTCAAGGGCAAAGAGCCTTTCATCAAAATGAAGCAGTTCCTGTCGGATGAGCAGAACATCCTGGCGTTACGCACCATCCAGGTTCGCAAGCGAGGTGAGTGGAACGAAACCGTCCAGAGAAACTGCAGCACTGCAGGAAAATCCCGCCTTTGAGTTCAAAGAGGCACTTTCCTTATTGACAAACACATCACAAACACATTAGCTAGACCTACCTGAAATACATATAGGTAGAAACATCTTGACCTCATCACTGTACCACAGTATTCTTTTCAAGGGAAATACAGCTAAACATCTTTGCAACTTTACAGATCTTCTTTATGCACCAAGAGCTTGTATCACTCCAAAGAGAAAAGAAAACTTGAAATTGCATCATATGACCCCTTTAATAAAATAATGCTAAACTGTATCATGCTAAACAGTTTATATGTATTGTTTTTATTTATTAATAATAAAGATTATTATTAAATATTTTTTTCTAATTAAAAGAACCAAAGACTTAAACTACTTCAGTCTGTGTGCATTGAATTTATTTAATACACGAGTTTCACAATTTGAGTTGAATTACTGAAATAAATGAACTTTTCCACGACATTCTAATTTATTGAAATGCACCTGTATATATATATTTTTTTCCATATTTTATTTTGATAGTAATAAATTAAATCAAATTATTAAAATATTAAATACATTATTCATTTAAATGAAATTAATGATTAAAATTAAATATTAATTTACAAAAAATTACAAATGATAAAAAATAAATATTAGCAAGACCAACCTGAAATATATAATATATAATAAATTCATATGCATTTTAAAATATTTATATTAATTAATTAATGATTTTTTTCTCATCAAAATTAAGCAATTAATGATTAATTAATTATTAAAATAAAATATTACATTTACAAAAAAATACAAATGATTAAAAGTAAATCTATATATATATTCATTATAAAATAATATTATAAAAAATAATAATATAATTATAAAATAATTATTAATAATCCTTACATATCCTAACATTACATGACAAATGACAATGCAGCTGAACATTTTATGAGATCAAATGTTTAATAATGCTGTATTAATAAACCATATTTATTTATTTCATATATGATAGTATTTTTGTTGGATACATTTGGTGAATTTACGTTTGTGTCAAGCAAAAGATCTTCTTGGAGCAGCATCTTTATTGGTCCTAAGACAACATTAATATTAACCAATCCGATTTTAGAGTAAGGGTTAATGTTGACTTACAGTAAATACAACAATAATGCATACATTTTAAATAACCATAAAGGCTATATTTCTTCTACACAATATCATGGTAAAAATATATAAAATCACAACCAATATTATCCACCTGCTATTTCCTTCTGATTTGATTCCACATTATGGACGTTCATGGTTTGTGAATTGTGTTTCATGTCTTCGCTCAATCCCACAGGCCAGTCTGACATCCTGAAGATGTCTCATCCCTCTAAACCCCACCGAACCATTTCAGACCCCCAGAGAGAACTAGTCCGGTTTCCTGTACAAGCGTTTCTAGCTTCCGCGCTCCCTCCCAAACCCTACATTTGTTGTGATGCTCTCTTTCTGGGTTTTGAAAGTAAAGCGTTCACGTGTTAGCGCACCCTCACTTGATGCCAGCTTCTCAAAGGCAGCTATTGATCTAGCAATCAAGCGCGAGGCTTTGGAGCTGCTCTCTGATCAGCCGGCCCACTCACCTCACCTCCTCTCTCTCCTTTACCCTCTCTGATAGGGAGCATCACTCCTCGCATCCGAACTCCTGAAAATGGGTCAGATGATGCCATCAAGAACATTCTAGAGCAGGCCAAGAAGGAGATCCAGTCACAAAGAGGTGGGTACAAAGACACCAAATCCACAGGCAGTTTATGAATCTCACACTGCTACCTACACAATAACACACAGCAGCAGTGAAACCAGCTTTGATCTGCGCATACGTGACTGTTATAGGATTCTTTTGCATAATAGGATGCCTGATGTTTGTTGGAATCTTCTTCTCGTTGTCCAAAATGACTTACTTCACTACAAACAAAAAAACATCCAGGTATCTGAGGAGCCAAATTATGTGACTATATCCTGAATTCAATTTATTAAATAAATATATGCTTAAATATATATTTAAGCCTAGCTATAACAACATTAAGTGAGGTATATACTAAAATAAATGAATTAAATTTTAAATAATAACAAAAATGGCCAAAAAATCATTTCAAATTATGTTCTCTAAAAATATATTCTCTTACTGTCTTATGTAATTTTGCTTCTAAGGTAAATTTATCTTGCTTATTAAAGGATGTTAAGATATATAAGATATAAAGACAAATATACAGATTAAAAAATATTTTTACAGTGTCTTAGAGCATTAAATATTTTAAATATTATTTTTTTATAATAGAACAAAAAAGCATATATTTGAAAAAATATTTAACAAATTTAAAGATATTCTCAGAAAATATATTCTCTTAATATCTTGCACAATTTATCTTGTTTATCGAAGGATGTTGAGATAAAAAGACAAAAATAATTTTGCAGTGTTGTAGGTGCAAGCAATGACAAAATTATGGATTCAATATCCCAGGAAACGCACTATTAATAACATGTCTGTCTGCTCTGTTTAATTGTTAATAAATTATTTTAAATAATAATAATTCTTTTTATATGAATTAAATATTTTAAATACTTGTTTTATTATTGTATTATTTGATCAAATACAAAATATTAATACAATTAAATAAGTTTAATGTTATATGTATAATATTTTAAATATTAATAATATTTTAGGATAATTCAATATTTTAAATATTTATTTTGTTATTGTATTATCAAATAAAAAATATTAATATCATTGCATTTTTACTATTATATAAATATTTAATATTAATTTGTAACTTGTTTATATTTTAATATTATAAATATGGTAAGATTAAAATAATTTATTTATTTATTTATTATAATTTTTAATAAAAAAATAATAATTGTTGTTCTACACACGTGCTAGTGCTAGTTTGGCTGATATGGTGTGTCTTGCGCACCACAAGCACCACTTTTTAAAGAAGCCATGTCAAGTTACAACTACTTTTGACTAGCAATGCAAACTCATGTTCTGATCTGTTTGTGTTGGACAGGTGATTGTAAGTCGTCTCTGGGCTGTTCATCAGGACGTAACAGCTCCGGAGGAAGCAGCAGTTCTGACGAAACCATCAAGAGCATCCTGGAACAGGCCCGTCGAGAGATGCAGGCGCAGCAGCAGGCCCTGCTGGAGATGGAGGTGTGCGGCCGGGCGTCCTCCAGCGAGCGTCTCGCTCTGCAGGATCCCGCCAAGGGTCAGCTGCCCCCCACGCCTCCCTTCATCAAACAGGAAGAGAATGTGTCCGTGCCGATGTGCGTGTCCAATCCCACCGGCAGCCCTCAGATGCCTCTGAGTGTCCTGTCCCCCGCCGTCTTTGTCCAAAACATCATCCGTAAGGTGAAGTCAGAGATTGGCGATGCTGGTGCGTATTTCGACCAGCACTGGTCCGCCGAACGCGGTGCGGTCGTGATGGGCGTGAGCTCTCACCCGTTCACCTCCGTGTCTCCGTCGCTCTCCTCCTCTTCGTCCACGGGACATTCGTCCATGCCTCGTCCCTGGCCGCGGATGGAGAACGGAGACTGCCCTGCAAACGGCGAGGAAACGTCCGCGCCAGAGGACGAGCCCATGTTGGGACGGCAGGTGGAGATCAAGGTGGAGCCGGACGCGTCGGTCAGCGGCGAGCCACCCTGCGGAGGAGGACGGGTATCATACTACCCCACCTACATCCCCCGAACCCTGAAGCCCACCGTCCCGCCGCTGACCCCTGAGCAGTACGAGATGTACATGTACCGTGAGGTGGACACCCTCGAACTCACCCGGCAGGTGAAGGAAAAACTGGCCAAGAACGGGATCTGCCAGAGGATCTTCGGAGAGAAGGTGGGGTTATATATAGCAAAGTCCAACAACAGGAGAAGCTCGCACACACATTATCAAAGAAAATTAAAAATTATTGCCAAAAAAGGGCAACATGCTCAGTGCAAAGACAAAACATTTTCCATTCAAATCGTCATCAGTGTCGCAGTAGAGATATGTAGAGAAGTTAGAAAGACTTAGAAAGTGAACTTAATTTACCCAGTAGCATGAAGCATCAATATGTGTGCTAACAATTATAGACATACAAAACTATTACTGCATCACAACTGACCCGTCGCAAAGACCCACCCCACTTAGTTACTGTTACTACGTCCGACAAGCCACTCGTCATGTTCTCACGCAGTGAAAAATACATCGCAGAGCAAAGAGGAAACTGACAGACAGGACAGAGCAGGTTACTTCTGGTATGAAACAAAGTCTCAGCTTTCAAATTCGGTCATTTTTCAAAGAAATTCAAACAATAAATACCGTTTTGTGGCTCTATGATGTGTGGTGACAGATCACTGTAGCGGCTCATGAACTGATTATCTCCTCCTCTTTACTAGTTATAGCATGAAATAAACCTGAATGAACATCAGAAGGTATCTTGTTTCAACCGCAGAAAGACGTCAGTACACACCATTTCTCAAGTTCAAATATGTCCATTCAAAATATCTTAATTTTTCTACAATTATGTGTGCAAACACATTCTTGTTGAAATAGTTTTTTTGCTTACACACCAAAGTATTTTCCATTTACAAACTTCAGTATTGGGTGCGTCTTTTATTAGTATCATTAATATATTAAGAATTTTTTTATTAATATTTTAAAATGTTTTTATTTTTATATTCTCTGTATTTTCCATTTTAATTTAATTTATTTATTTTTGAATTTAATTTAATTAATTTATTTTGCTTTGTAGTTGTTATTTTAGTACTTCAAATAAATGAAGATTAGAACTAATTGAAAATAAGTTTTTTTTTTTTTTACTTTTTCTATTATTCTATTATATTATATTATATTTTTTAGTTAACATTTATTTTATTTCAAGTAACAAAAATGTTTTATGTAAGGTTTTAGTTTTAGTTAATGATAATAACCCTGTTGTGAGATTGTTTGTGTGTCCTAAAACAGCACAGCTGGAGAGCAAGTTTTCATGTAATGACTCGAGATCAAAGGAATCGGTGCATGAAATGGTTTTTCCACAATAATCGGGCACAAATGTAATGTTATTGTGTGGAAACGGCATACATCTGTTTTGGTATTTGATACCCACAAATCAACATTAATGTCTAATTTTTTTGACGACATTAAATCAAAACCATATGTACTTCCTTAATACATGTTTCTGGTCTTATTGGGAATGATTAATCTGTGCATGTTATTCCAAAATAGAAATAACAGCAAACTTGCAATGTAGTGATACTCCTGTCTTAAAGGGGTCCTATTATGCTTTTTCACTTTTTCAACTTTAGTTAGTCTATAATGTTGCTGTTTGAGCATAAAAAAGATCTGCAAAGTTACAAAGCTCAAAGTCCACTTCAAAAGGAGATATTTTATTTAACAGAAATCACTTTTCAAAAACTAAAACGAACGACTCGTTTGGACTACAACGCATATTTTCCCGACCAGGCGCCGAGTGGTGCCAATCACAACACACACTGGCCTTGCTAACCAATCACAGCACATTTCGTCTTTCAGCAGGCGGGCCTTCATTTGATACAGGAACTATTCAAGCCGTTCATGCCAGACTGGGGAGAGAGGTGTTGTAATAATGTAAAATATGTGAAAAATAATGTGTTTTCGAACAACCTAGTATGAGAGCCTGTTCTAGTACACCCCCAAAACAAAATCAAGACTTTGTAAAAGAGCATAATAGGACCCCTTTAAATCCATGCAAAATAATATGAATATATATACACACTAAAGTTCAAAAGTTTGGAAGATTTTTTTATGTGTTTGAAAGAAGTCTCTTTTACTTACCAAGGCTGTGTTATTTGATCAAAAATACAGGAAAATCAGTCATATTGAGGAATTTTATTACAATTTAAAATAACTATTTTCTATTGTAATATATTGTAGAATGCAATTTATTTCTGTGATCAAAGCTGAATTTTCAGCATCATTACTCCAGTCTTCAGTGTCACATGATCTTCAGAAATCATTCTAATATGCTGATTTGCTGCTCAAAAAACATTTTTTATTATTATCAATGTTGAAAACAGTCGTGCTGCTTCATAGTTTTGTGAAAACCGTGATACATTTTTTCCAAAAAAGAAAAAACACCATTTATTTGAAACAGAAATCTTTTGTAATATTATAGATGTCACTTTTGATCAATTTAATGTGTCCTTTCTTTAAAACGAATTTTTTTCTGAAACTGTAGTGCCAGTGCGACCTGAAGCTCTTGGATTGTCTTTTCCTACCATCTAGTGGTCACTTGAATATTTGCCAGTGAAAAGCTGATTTCAAACAGTAAGGTTCTGGTTTTATTACGAGCATTATTAGTTCAGACTCATTTGAATGTCTGTGTGTCTCTGGCAGGTGTTGGGTTTGTCTCAGGGCAGCGTGAGTGACATGTTATCCAGACCTAAACCCTGGAGTAAGCTCACTCAGAAGGGCCGCGAGCCGTTCATACGCATGCAGCTCTGGCTGCTGGACCAGCTGGGTCACGGACTCAACCAGCTGTCCAACCACAGCCACAGTCAGGGTCAGTCATGATCACCAGCACTAACAACCCATCCTACACACAGCCAGAGGGGCTTTTGCTCATTTCTGTAATTCCGAGAAGAAGTTTAGGTTTAAATATTAATTACTATTACAGAGTAGTCATGATATAATGTTTAAATAATATCATTGGTTTTTTTTTTTTCCTGTATTTTGATTAAAAAAAAATTGTTATTATCATAGTACTGATATTCTTGGAACAATTGAAAACAATTGGATTAAAAAAAATAATAATAATAATAATAATTTAAAAATGAAAAAAAAAATTGTAATATAACTTACAATAAACAATAATTATATTAATAATATGCAATATACATTATAATATTTTTTAATATTAAAGTAAAGAGACTTTTGACATTCTGCTTTTGGCATTCAGATCTTTTTAATTGTCATGAAAATGAAAGCATAATGCAAAACATTTTCAAGTTCAGCTTCACTCTGTGCTGCTTAAATAAAATAACTGTTTTTTTCTGCATTTCGCTAAAAATATAGTAATGAGAATCTTACAACAGCTGAACACAATCAGGTTAAAAATAAAATGATGAAAATGTGTAATATAAATTGTAATTATTATAAAAATTATAAATAACGTTTTTAAAACATCATTTAAATGTAATAAATTACATTGTGTAAATTACAATATTTTTTTATTACAGTGAGAAAAAAAAATCATTTTCCCCGTAATGATAATTCTGATGGCAAAATGCTGAACATATTAAAGTTAAGCTTCATTTACTGTATGCAAAATACAATTTCTTATTTCCTACACTGCAAAAAAAAAAAAATCTTAGTATTTATGTCTTATTTTCCAGAATAAATATCTAACAATTCTTAAATCAATATACATTTACTTGAGAAGCAAAATGACTTAAGATATTCATTCTTGGTTTCTTTAAAAAAAAAATTAAAAAAAAACATCAAAATTAATAGTTTATGCTTAAAACATGAACAAATATTTGGCAGTGGGGTAAGAAAAATAAACTTAATTCAAGTTTTTAAAATAACAAAGTCATTTTTCTTACCTCACTGGCAGATTTTTTTTTTCTTTTTACATTTTTATTCAAGTATGTGTATATATTTGAATTGGAAAACAAGACAAAAATATTGAGCAATTTTTGTTTCTAGTTGAAATCTTTTTGTTATCCTTCCATAGACATGGTATTGCATTATTTGAGTGTTTTAACGTAACCAATAAATGTAAAACTCCTCTGACTGTAATAATTATTATAATCTTTGGTTGTTGGTTCTCAGATAAGAGCCCCGTGACGAGCCGCTCGTCCCCGTCCCCTCCTCCGAGTCCTGAGGACGGACACCCCAGCATGACCCTGGAGCCCGTGAGTCTGGCGCTGGAGAGCAGTAAGGAGAACCAGCAGCCGCAGCACGCCGAGCCCCACGGAGGGAAGAGCACGCCGGGCATGACGGTCCCACAGCAGCCCCACACGCCGCTGGGCATCCAGGAGCTGGTGGCCATGTCTCCGGAGCTGGACACGTACGCCATCACCAAGAGAGTGAAGGAAGTGCTGACCGACAACAACTTAGGTGATTTACAGCACGACATACACAGCACTGTATGAACGTCAGCATTTTGTTATATGTAAAATGAAGATTTTTGATAAGGTTTGGGTATTTTTGTGCTACACCAAGGATGCATTTATTTGATCAAATGTTGTTACTGCTCACTAAAACTATTAGAAATAGTTTTCTGTAATTAAAATTATATATATAAAAATTATATTAGATGAAAAACGTAACTTTAAAAAGTTGAATGAAAAATAGAAACATGGCCTTTATAAATAAATAAGTGTACGTTGAAGTACTAAAATTCTTAAAACTGAAGTAAAGATGAATTAAAGCTATAAGAAGCTTTAGGTGTAAAAAAAATAATGACAAAATCATGTAACAAAATTACTAAAACAAATTAAAATTCAAATGAAAACTGAAAATATAAAAATAAAAGCTGATTCAAAATAAATAAATACTATAGTATTATATACACTAATTAAAGCTGCATATATAAAACGACATGAATATGACAAAATCATGTGACAAAATTGCTAGAACAAACTAAAAATGAAACTGAAAATATAAAAATAAAAGCTAAATCAAAGTATTAATATAGTATACTATATATAGTATACACTATGTAGTACACTGCATACTATAATAGTATACACTACCGGTCAAAAGTTGGAATAATAAAGATTTTTTAATGTTTATTAAAGAAGTCTCTTCTGCTTACCAAAGCTGCATTTATTTGATCAAAAACACAATAAACAGGAATATTGTGAAATAATGTTACAATTTAAAATATCCATTTTCTATTGTAGTCTATTGTTAAAATGTAATTTATTTCTGTGATCAAAGCTGTATTTTCAGCATCATTACTGCAGTCTTCAGTGTCACATGATCTTCAGAAATCATTCTAATATGCTGATTTGCTGCTCAAGAAACAAAACAGTTGTGCTGCTTCATATTTTGTGGAAATACATTTTAAATCAGGATTCTTTAATGAATAGAAAGTTTAAACAAGATAAATTTCGAATCAGTTCATTGAAATGGACTGTTTTGAACTGATTCATGTTGAATGTACATCTAAGGAGAATTCTAAGGACTGGAGCCGGATTGGTAACTGTAAGTATACGTGTGTGTTGTTTCAGGTCAGTTTTAGATCTACATTTTAAGACATTTTATTAATAAATTTGATTTTAAATAGTGAGATCCAGTGTTATTTATATGCTTATTTTATATACTATGTTGTTCAATCTATTAGAGATTAATTGAAATAAAGCTTAAAATCAAATATAAATATTAGAATAAAAACTTAAAAAGTTAAATGAAAATGAAAATAAGAAATGTTGCCTTGACAACTAAAATACTAACATTTCAAAAACTGAAAAAATTAAGCTATATAGAAATATAAAAAAAGACATTTATAAAAATGATACATTTATTTATATACTATTACAGTATTTATTAATATTTTGAATTTGCTTTTATTTTTTCATTTTTTGTTTTCCTTTTAATTTTAGCACTTTTGCCATTTTTATTATTTTTATTGTAGTTTTAGTTTGATTCATTTTAAAATTTCAATTTTTATCATTGTGTTATACATTATATAACCGATTATTATATGCGTTTTTTGATTCAGACTTTATTAATAAAATGTTTATTTTTCAGACAATAAGTGGATTTGCTGAATTGCACATATGCAATGTAGTGAGATCCAGTTTTAGTGTAATTTATATACTATTATAATATTTAATATTTCGATTTTCTATAGTTGAAATTGTAATTTTATGTGCATTTGTGTCATTTTTATTATTATTTTAAATATTTCTATATACAGTAGCTTTAATGAGTTTTTATTGTAGTTTTTGTTTTGTTTTAGCATTTCAACTTAAACTCTTTTTATCATTATATTACATATGACCCACTTGCTGTGAAAATGCAGTTGATTATAATTTGTTAAGTCGCCTCAAGTAGCAGACTGCTGTAAAACCGAATGTGTTGGTTTTCTCCAGCGTATCTGAAGAGGCGATACGGTCTGCTGAGTCCCGGCTCAGACAGCGATTCCCCCGGCGCTCATTCAGACTGCATCAGTCCGGGTCTGACCCCGCTGGAGCTCTGCCCCTTCAGCCAGGCCAAGAAACCCCGCGTGGTGCTGGCGGCCGAGGAGAAGGAGGCTCTGAGGAAGGCGTATCTGCAGGAGCCGTATCCCTCGCAGCACACCATCGAGATGCTGGCCGCCCAACTCAACCTCAAAACCAACACCGTCATCAACTGGTTCCACAACTATAGGTCCGAATCCGCTGTGCTCTGCTTTTTACCTTGTAAAGACAGCTAAAAGAGATGTCCTAAAGGAGTTTTGCGTCTGAAGCTTTGTGAATGGGAGTTTGGCTCCACCTGCTGGACAATTGAGGAGTTTAAAATAGAAAGACGAGAGAACCCTGTAACTTAGGGTGACCAAATCCTGGCCAGGACGCGTCCTGGGAAAATGGCACGTATGGTCACCCTACTGTAACTACACCTGTACTGTGGCATGAACTTTCCAACATACCCCCAAAATTCCAACGTTTTCAGTGAAAAATTCTTAAAATTATACCTTTGGTCCCCCCAATCACTACCAGAGCACACTGTGTACGATGCAAAGCTTTCAAACTGGAAGTGATGTCAGCAGCAAACTATCCTCTCTTTTATTGGTCCAAAAGACATTTCACTAATAAATTTGATTTAAAATGTTCATTTAAAGACAATAACTGGATTTGCTGCGAACTAGAATTATTTTAGTGTTATTGATATATTATTAATATTTTGAATTAGCTTTTATTTTTGTATTTTTATTTTTTATTTTAGTATTTTTATTATTTTCAAAATGTATATATAGTTTTATTAATTTTAGTATTTCAAATTAAAGTTATTTATTTTATTCGCCGTGTTTTTCAGACAATAACTGAAATTGTTGAATTACACGTACAATGTAGTGAGATCCAGTGTTATTTTACTGTTATTTATATACTACAGTATTTATTAATATTTTGATATTTCAATATAGTTTTAATTCATTTTTAATTTAGTTATATTAATTTTCGATTTAAACTTAAACATGCATTTCAGCTATTTTTTTACTCTTAAGACAATAACTGGATTTGCTGAATTACACGTGCAATGTAGTGAGATACAGTGTTATTTTACTGTGTTATTATATACAATTGTAGTATTTAATAATATTTTGAATTAGCTTTTATTTTTATATTTTCAGTTTTATTCAAAAAACATTTTTTTTTAATTAATTTTTTTTTCAGTACTTTGTTATTTTGTTATGTGCTTTTGTATTTTTTTTGTCTTTTTCATTTAAATATTTCTGTATATTTTTAAAACTCTTTAACTGTCACCCCCCATTTTTGAACATAGACGTGAAATCCAAACTTAAATTGTTATAAATCATGTACGCTTTTGAATCACAATCACAAAATTATTGCAGAAGTGAAATTATTTCAAAATATGAAAGTATCAAGAAATTATAGAAGTTTAAATTTACTGTAAAGAAAACGCACTGTGCAATTTTTTAAATTTTATATAAAATAAATATTTTTCATAACAGGTTTTACTCTAAAATTGCTATAAAATTAAAGCCTTGTGTCTAAATAAGTTATGTTCCAAATTTGAAGTTGATATAAAAAATTGAGGTTCCTGTGAGATTTCATTTAGGGCGTTATACCACAAACTATGGAGCCAGATCGGCCTCAAAAATAATACATTTATAAAACAAAATTCATAAATGCACAGCACAATTTACATTTACAAAATCCGATTCGTAAATTCAAAACACAATTCATAAATACAGAAGTAAAAGCATAAATATGGTATTTTGATGTCATACACCGATCGGTCTGCACACGCAAACAAAGCCAAAACCTAGATATTTTAGGCAATATAGAAATCCTGGCCAGGACGCGTCCTGGGAAAATGGCACGTATGGTCACCCTACTGTAACTACACCTGTACTGTGGCATGAACTTTCCAACATACCCCCAAAATTCCAACGTTTTCAGTGAAAAATTCTTAAAATTATACCTTTGGTCCCCCCAATCACTACCAGAGCACACTGTGTACGATGCAAAGCTTTCAAACTGGAAGTGATGTCAGCAGCAAACTATCCTCTCTTTTATTGGTCCAAAAGACATTTCACTAATAAATTTGATTTAAAATGTTCATTTAAAGACAATAACTGGATTTGCTGCGAACTAGAATTATTTTAGTGTTATTGATATATTATTAATATTTTGAATTAGCTTTTATTTTTGTATTTTTATTTTTTATTTTAGTATTTTTATTATTTTCAAAATGTATATATAGTTTTATTAATTTTAGTATTTCAAATTAAAGTTATTTATTTTATTCGCCGTGTTTTTCAGACAATAACTGAAATTGTTGAATTACACGTACAATGTAGTGAGATCCAGTGTTATTTTACTGTTATTTATATACTACAGTATTTATTAATATTTTGATATTTCAATATAGTTTTAATTCATTTTTAATTTAGTTATATTAATTTTCGATTTAAACTTAAACATGCATTTCAGCTATTTTTTTACTCTTAAGACAATAACTGGATTTGCTGAATTACACGTGCAATGTAGTGAGATACAGTGTTATTTTACTGTGTTATTATATACAATTGTAGTATTTAATAATATTTTGAATTAGCTTTTATTTTTATATTTTCAGTTTTATTCAAAAAACATTTTTTTTTAATTAATTTTTTTTTCAGTACTTTGTTATTTTGTTATGTGCTTTTGTATTTTTTTTGTCTTTTTCATTTAAATATTTCTGTATATTTTTAAAACTCTTTAACTGTCACCCCCCATTTTTGAACATAGACGTGAAATCCAAACTTAAATTGTTATAAATCATGTACGCTTTTGAATCACAATCACAAAATTATTGCAGAAGTGAAATTATTTCAAAATATGAAAGTATCAAGAAATTATAGAAGTTTAAATTTACTGTAAAGAAAACGCACTGTGCAATTTTTTTAATTTTATATAAAATAAATATTTTTCATAACAGGTTTTACTCTAAAATTGCTATAAAATTAAAGCCTTGTGTCTAAATAAGTTATGTTCCAAATTTGAAGTTGATATAAAAAATTGAGGTTCCTGTGAGATTTCATTTAGGGCGTTATACCACAAATGTCTAAATTTCTCTGTTAATTTTACTTCTATCACAAAATATATCACCACATATGGAATCGTGAGACTCAGACCTTTCCAACGATATGTATTTTGTCAAGATTATAATAAGTTTGGATTGTAAAAGACCGTAATACATTTTGTAATATGACATTTGACCCCGCCTGCTAAGGGGGAGGAGACCGCCAAAAGATTTAAAGTACCATTTCCATGGTAACACAATCTACGATTTCAAAATAGTTTCCACAGGATGAATTTTAAGGTTTTAAGCTTTCAAATGATATATGATGACTACTAAAATATGTGATGAAAAAGAGCGCCAAGCGTCCCACAGGTGGGACGGTGACAGTTAAAGGGTTAATTAATTTTTATTTCATTTTTAATAATTTTAGCATTTCCACTTATTTATTTCAGATACAAATTTCCAAGACAAAATTTCTTTCTTTAATTTTTTGCATCTAATATTTATATAGAATTTTATTTCAACTTTATTTCAATTACTGATTGTTTTTAAATAGTTTTAGTTAACAATAACAACACTGATTGATCATGTGTGACACCAATATAGCATACAGCTAAAAATAAAAACAGTAAATGTATTTCCTCTGTTTCATCATCATCCTTTCAACAGGTCCCGTATGCGGCGAGAGGTCCTGATGCAGGGTCTCCAAGACAACGACACTGACGCCGAGCACAACAACTACTCCCCGGTGACATCCCACAGCCCCGCATCCGACCGCGACGACAGGAAGCAGCCCTCGGCCGTTCACAGCCGCCCTCTGAGCGCCGCCCCGCGCCGCTTCGCTGTCAAACAGGAGACCAGTGAGCCGGATGAAGACGAGGAGCTCCGTCTGCGGCAGGCCAAGTGCTTCTCCGTCGCCGTCCAGTTCGCCCAGCTCAAAAGCGACCCGGAAACGCCCCCGCACCGCTCGCTGGGTGTCAAAGACGAGGAGCTGCAGAGGAACAGCCATGAGGACGAGGAGCTGGAGAAGTCGCCCGAGGATCCCGTCAGCTTCAAGGCTTCGTCCGAACCGTCCCGGAGCAGCCTGGAGGTGTCGCTCAACTCGCCCTCCGCCGCGTCCTCGCCCGGCCTCATGATGTCCGTGTCCCCCGTCCCGTCCTCTTCCGCCCCCATCTCCCCGTCGCCACCCAACCCGCCGGCCCCGAGCCATCATCACCCGCCGAGCTCGCCCTCGCTCAACTCCAAACTCAACAAGAGCACTCAGAGACGCAACGAGAAGATGGCCAACCTCAACAACATCATCCATCGCCTGGAACGGGCCGCCAACCGCGAGGAAACGCTCGAGTGGGAGTTCTAGAGATTCACGCTCTGTAAGAAGATCGTAAGCGTCAGATATTTATAAACACATTTTAGGTATTTTGATAAAGTCACTTTGGATTCTATGTCACAGCACTAGCTGGTTTCGAGGAGAGGTAACGTAGCGGTGTCATGAAATGCACACTGACGTCTTGTAGATTGCCACTGGGTGAGATTATGAAATAAAAGACCTCTGTCTTAAGCCATCAAAAAGCACTACTTATTTAAAAACAAAAAAAGAGAGAGACAATGACCAAATTTGCTAATTTTTGAATAGCAGTTTTTCAATTTTTGTCTGTAAGACGGGACAGCGAAGTCAAGTGACGTGCGACAGCTTCACGTTGACCGAGGGATAGTCCTAAAAGACTCTAAATAGTGAACAATGCATATGTATTTAGTTTCTTGGTGACATGTTTTGGATCTTTTGTTATACAAGCGTACAACGTGTGATTGTGTGTGATGTAGAAATCGTCTGCAATAGCCTTCTCTGAACAAGATGTAGCATGGAACATAATTTACCTTCTATTTCCTCTCTAGATAGTAACCTGTGATATACTTGAGCGATACTATAAAAAGAGAAAAACGGCAAAAACAAGAAAAAAGGAAATGTAAAAAAGTCGCTACGACGGTAGATGCATTTTTTGATTTCGTGAACGTGTCATGTTTTATTTAATTTTTTTTGGTTGGATACTTTGAGGTTTTACACCAGGGCTCTTGTGCACAGTTTACACACTGCAGAAAAATCATTTTCTTACTCAGTTTCTTTTTTTTTTCTTTCTTTTTTTTGTACAAATATCTAAATATTCTTAAATCAAGATGCATTTACTTGAGAAGCAAAAATACATTTTCTGAGAAAATTTATCAAAATTAAGTGATTTTTTGCTTAAAACACGAAAAAATATCTGTCACTGAAATAAGAAAAATAATCTTGCGTTAAATCTTGTTTTAAGTCATTTTTCTTACCCCATTGGCAGATTTTTTTTTGTTTGTTTTAAGCATAAACTCAATTTGGATGTTTTCTTTTTTTTTCTCAGAAAACAAGGCCTAATATCTTAAATCATTTTGATTCTCATTTGAAACATTAATCAAAATTAAGTGAGTTTTTACTTAAAACAAGAAAAATATTTATCAGTGAGATAAGAAAATCTTGTTTTGCCTTTGATGTAAATATTTGAAAAAATTATTTTTCTTACCCCGTTGGCAGATTTTTTTTTCTTGTTTTAAGCATAAACTAACTCAAGTGAAAAATTAATCAATTAATCAGTCTTGTTTAAACATACTTAAATTGAGATTTTTTTTAAATTATCATTTAAAAAATCATCAAAATTAAACAAGTTTATGCTTAAAACAAGACAAAATATGTCAGTGTGCTAATAAAAAAATGTTCCTTTTGAATTAAGTTTATTTTTCTTAACCCACTGACAGATATTATTCTTGTTTTAAGCATAAACTCACTTAAAACAATTTTTTTTCATAAAACAAGGCCTAATATCTTACATCTGTTTGCTTCTCAATTTAAACATGAATCAAAATTAGGTGTTTTCTTTTTCCTAAAAAAAAAAAAATCTGTCAGTGGGCTAAGAAAAATACTCTTTTTCCCTTTGAATTAAGTTTATATTTCTTACCCCACTGACAGATATTTGTTCTTCAAATATCTGTCAGTGATGTCATATCTTAAGTCATTTTGCTGCTCAAGTAAATGTATCTTGATTTAAGATTTTTTAAAAGATTTTTAATGGTAAACAAGACAAAAATACTGAGTAAGAAACAGTTTGCAGGGCAAATCCTCAATAATTAATCGCACATGTACCTCGACGAGCTGGTCTCACACAAACACACACGGCCCAGTGCACCTCATGTAACCTCCAATGTCTGAAAAATACTTTTTGGCCCAAAGGTTTGGATATAATTTAAGCCTCAAAGACCACCGACTGGTGGGGTGGGACGGGTTTTCACGGGGAATTGTTAACATGCATATGTTTTAAATTGATCAGTGATGCAGTCGTGGTCTCGGGTGGCCAGAAACATGCCGTACTCGTCTTCTCATTCTTCATCCATCTATCAGTCCGTGTGGAGTCATGTGCCACTGCAAACTTCCTCCAGCCGCCTCCTTCTGAATGGAACAACATGAAGTGTGCTCCTCCTACATGAGGACGGTTCCAGTGGAGAAGGACTATGGTGGTGTGACACTTTATGTTCAGGTCATTTTATAATTATTAAGACATATTTTAGCAGGGAGTTGAAAATAAATGCACTTAAAATTTAAATATGACATACTGGACATCAGATGAGACTCTGTTTTTAGTGTGCTTTAATTGTTTATTTCTATCCCATGAGCACTTGGTCTACTTTGCTGTATTTTAGTGATTTTGATACTTATTTCCAGGTGCTCGTTCTACTGCAGGAGACTCACTGAAGTTTTACTAAAAGGCCAGAAACTCACTCTGTGCAAGTATGCAAATGCTGATGTGCATGCTTGGTCAGTGCCATTGGAAGCATTTTATTTTATTTATTATCATTTTATTTCTAATTTTGTTTTAATTATTTTCACTACCTGACAGATTAACTGAAATAAGTGTCTTAAGAAATCACGCCTGTCTCTGTGACAAAACCAAACTCAGACAGTAGAACGGTGAAGCACCCTGCGCTTTTTAGCCTGTCAGTGATTATTTGACATTGTTCTGGAGAACGAGGTTTTAAAGAGAGGGCATGAAATTGAGGTTAGAAAAATGTTTTAAAGCTGCAGTACTCAAGGGGGCGATAGAGTTTCCTTCACTGCAAAAAATGATGATCTTACTCAGTATTTTTGTCTTGTTTTCTAGTACAAACATCTGAAAATCCTTAAATCAAGATACATTTACTTGATATGCAAAATGACAAGATATTAAGTCTTGTTTTCAGAAAGAATCATCAAAATTAAATGAGTTTCTGCTTAAAACAAGAAAAACAATCAAATACTAAACACGGAGGGAATAAATAAACTCAAAGGGAAAACAGGTTCATTTTTATTATCCGATTGACAGCTATTTTTTTTTCTTGTTTTAAGCACAAAGTCACTTAATTTTAATTAATGTTTTAGCAAACAAGACTATTTCTACTTGAAAACTAGACAAAAATGCTGAGTAAGAAAATAATTTTTGCAGTGCAATATAAAGTAAGATATTTCCTCCAGTATTTTCACCTAACAGAACCATAACCGAAACTGCAAACAAACTGATTTGTAACATTTTATAATTTTTAATATTAGTAATTTTTGTATTAATAATATTATATAATTTTTTTAAATAATGGCATAATCCTGCGCCATTTAATCAAGTGTGATATTCAGGTTGCTGTAAACAACTAACTTGAACCTATAGCTAAATTTAACTTGACCAGCAAGATTCTCTTCTGTCATGGTGAAACAACAGATTATGGTTGACATGGAAGAGTAAACTGGCAGATAGTTTGCGCAAATGCTGCTTATGCGCTTCTGTTGCATCAGTAAATTACGTTGATGGAAACATTGCATTCACATGCTTGCGTAGAGTCTGTTTCAGGTCCAGTACTGAATAATACTAAATCAGAAGCAGATGTTCGTCCACGAAACGCAAGTGAAATTTGAACACAATGACCAAAGCAAAACAAACACTGTTTCCCGAACAGAACGGCCTGTTTGTTTTGTACGACTCTCTCACGAAGCATCTGAAATCACATAATGCGTCAAAGCTCTGCTGAAAAGATGTGTTCGATCAGTCCGGATGTTCTTCATTGGTGTGTTTTTGCTGCTGTTTATCGATTGAAATGCTGTTTTTTTTTATTTATGATATTTGAAAACACTGACGTTCCTTTCCTACTGTATCATATTTTATACTGAATATTTGCAGCTCCTCAGTACCACACCAGAAAAATACACGCAGCACTTAGAAAATCGTGAATTCTTCTGCATTTGTGTTCCACAAGTCTTTGCCTTCATGTCTCATTGAGGTTGTTAGAAAAGAACACTTGCACATACTGAGGATCGGATCTTAAAACATATGTAAATATATATATATAAATATTACACATTTACTGAAAGGGATATATCTTAGGTCCTTGACACTAGCGTGCTGATGATATTTAATAGAGTGTACAGTTATATTAACCAAACACATAGAGCCAGAGGGGGTCTGGCAAGCTTGCCCATGTTCTAGAAACTTCTCTCAGGGTAGACTTGCTTCTCTAAGCTTTACAAAAACCTGTCAGGTCACACCACTGGTCAGCGTTTACTGTCCCTGACCGCCGTTTGCTTTTGTTTCAGTGTTCTCGACGAAGTGTAAATCTGATGGATCATGCGATTTGTATATCTGATCAGTTGGAAGTAAGAATCTCATGTACTATAATTCATACACTTATTATGATTAAGAAGCAACCAAATTCTGAACAAAAGTTCAAGAAAAGCTGAATGCATCTCATCTGAACGCTTGTGACTGACGCCGTCAGAAACCATTACTGCTGATTCAAGTGAAACAACAACGACTACTTGTTTTTTTATCTCCCATGTTACTGTTCATGTAATAAAAATCTCTAATGACAACAGATTTTTTGGCCATTCTAAACTGCTTTCATTTACTCTGTTTTGTTTTTAACATTTGAATTTTGCATGCCTTTTTAGGACTGTGAATGTTTGAGTGTTTATTGTATTTTTTTTGTTCAAGAAATCGGCACTTACACAAAGTTTTACTTCCTGCAGGTTATAATGGAGGATACTGTGTACTTTCCACAAATATGGTACACTTTGACTTTTCTTAGTGGCACAAATGCATCGAATTATTACATTGGTGACGAATTATCTCATAGAAAATTAACCTATTAGATCATTAAAACATTTCATACCCTTAAAATGTCCCACCTCAAACTCATGCAAAAATATCAATTTTGACACTTGTAAATCTACTATTGAAATCTGTTGGAATAAAATTCAATTAAAGTCATTTTAATGACTTTAACTGAAAAAAATGATAATGTTAGCTGTTTCCCATCCCTGTTACCACATAATTTTCAAAAAAATATATTTGTATTCATATGTCTCAGACAGTGTTATTTTAGGATAATTGAAATACTGCTACAGTTTTATTAATATTTTAGAATCTTTCTTTATATTTTTTCTGTTTTCAATTTAATTTAGTTAAAGTTTTATAAAAAAATTGTGCATTTTAGTATTTTTTTATTTTATTTGTCTATATAGTTTTTATTTTAGTAGGTAAACTAAATTAAAATGAGAAATGTTGCCTTTGCAACTAGTTTATTTTTAATTTTTTTTCAGTTAATGTTTATTTTATTTCAAGTATTGAAAATGTTTTTTCTTTTTAAATGCTTTTAGTTTTAGTTTAACTATAGTAACCCTGGTCCCTGAACACCTCGTGTAAAATAAACAACATAAAACAGCTCATTTAAAATGAAGGTGAAGGCCCTCCTTTCACA